TTACTTGTTGTGTGTGTGTGTGTGTGTGTGTGTGTGTGTGTGTGTGTGTGTGTGTGTGTGTGTGTGTGTGTGTGTGTGTATTTGTTGCATATGCGCACTAGCGCATTCTTGTATATGTGACACTATAGAGATTTATAATGTATTATATGCGTAGACATTATAAAAAATTATAATAGAAATAAAAGAATATTTATTTATTCTCACCGGTTAGCAGGATTTGCTTTCCATTGACTAAATTTCTTAGTATAAGTCGCTACACAATCATCAGCGTCAAAATTGCAAGCCCACTTATGCACTAATTGTCGCAACAGAACTGTTAATCTATCATCATTTTCACGATCTTCATATCCCAGCTCAGAACGTACATTACTAATAAGAGACAAGACATATTTCTAAAAATATAAATTATAAGTTTATTATAAATATAGAGTTACTAAATTATGTACAATTAATTTCATGAAGTATATAATCTTTTTGTATTCAAATTTACATAAATTTCTTAAAGATTCAATAACTAATGCATGTTTATAATTTTATAAAAAAGAGAATATTGGCTATAAATTACTCGAAAGAATTTATACAAAACAGTGTGGATAACTTGCCACGACTTATATAATTTAAATTATGTCTGTTTTTTAATTATTTATAAAGAACCCCGCACAAAACCACCCACGTGTTTTTGGCTCTCTATGAAATTGACTGAAATTTTAGTATGTTGTAGTCTTTGATTTACTGATCAAGTTTCCTTAGACACAACGTTAAAAATGGCTATTTTTTGCTTCAGCTGTTTGAAATGTCGTATTTTATAATTATTCTTGTAACGTTCTAAATCGATTTTTTTATAATAAATCGAGAGATTTTAGATAATAATATGCGATTTATCTACATATTTGAAAAATTTATGTATATGTGTCTACCTGTAGCAAAAAAACTAGCCATTTTTTTCTTTGACTTAATTTGCTTAATTTAATCAGTAAGCCAAGACTATAATAACATACTAAAATAAAGAATATTATAACATACTAAAATTTTAGCCAATTTCACAGAGGGATATAAAACATATGGTTTTGTGCGGGGTCCTTTGTATTCTATACTATATTAGTAATTAACTAACCTTAAATAAGTCGTGTTCCTTAGATCCTGCAAATCGCTTATTAAAGTAATCTAAACCAGTAAGTGCTGATTTAAATGGCAAATAATTCGTTTCTCTCTTAAGATAAAGCAATCTATCCAGAACCGCAACGTTATTTTGATATCCTGCTCTACCCAGATTTAATAGATCATCTACAATGGCGGCTCTGTTTAATACATGAATTTCTTCGAATTTATCGCTTTTCAAGAAATCGAAAATGCGCTGCCATCCACGATCATCGTAATTTACACGATAGAAAGCTATAACAAGAGTATTTAAATTAATTTTATAAAAAATTCTTATCTCTATAATACGTATAAATAAATACAAAATATATTCAAATTTATAACTTATTTATTATGTATATATGTTTATCAAAGTTTGAAAACTAAAAGCTTGAGCTTTTGATATTCTTAACAATATAAATACACAATTATTTTGTTACAATGTTTGATTTATTCTATCTTGTGTATTAATAAATTTAATAATCGAGATTCAATGATAATATAATATAATAACATATAAAAAATACATACATATAGTTTTCCATAAATTATTCTAGCATCAATAAAAAATACTATTCAATACTAACCTGATGATTGAAGATTGAATATGGCCCATTCTTTCGGATTAATTTTGAATTCTGCAGTGGTCTCTTTGGTATTCATCCAATATTTCGGAATTGTGTTACTAAAATCTGGGTTACTCTGTGTGGCAAATGTGAGTGGAACGTACCAAGTGACATTCGTCGAAGTCTTATCTAAGTTCCTCAAGAAAAAGCGTTCTTGACTAAGATTTACTACACCGTCGTCATTAATGTTAACTGACACGACAGGATATCCGGATTGCGTAGTCCAAGAGTCCATTATTGATTTTACAGAAATATCTGATGACTGTTCGACATCTATTTGTTTTTGTAGTTCCTCCCATAAAGCATCCGGATTACCCACTCCTTGTCTTTTGCTAGAAGATATATCGTATTTATAATATAATTTCATAATTGCATTAAAAGAAACAGACATGTATTTTAAATAAAAATATTAGTAATTTGTAATGCCTTAGATTTATGTAATGTATTTATGGCAAGATTGTTATAAACAATTTATTCTTTTGCGTCATCATATGTATACAATATGTATACAAAATTCTTTTGCGGATAGAATAAAATATAATAGCGCTTCTTAACATGTTACAATATTAATCATAAATATATATACTTGTGAATGCTTTAATTAAAATAATATAATCGCTGAATCAATATTAATTTAATTTACTTCTTTTCTATTTTAGTACAATTGCACAATTGTTTTTACTAGTTATTTTTTCTTATTGTTTTTTTATCTTATTGTTTTCAACATTCATTAAGTCTTATTTTCGAGCAAATTAATCAACTGTGTTTAAAACATGATTAATTATAAGCAATTAATTAATTATGTAATATTTACTTGTTCTTTAGATAATGGTGCAATGCGGTTCTGAAGACATGGTCACCGAACACAAAGCTCATCATACGAACAACACTGCCTCCTTTCGCATAAGTAACTCGATCACTTGCTCCTACGATTTCTTTACTAGTAGAAACATCTCGAGTCATTGGAAGAGAAGATTCAACAGCATCAATTCCAAATGCAGCTTGAACGTGATCCACGACATACTGTTCCTTAATATTCCAGTTTGTCTCGACCTACAACAGAATAGAAATATTTAAATATTAAATAGTAAAAAAATATTTATTAATTTAATCTTCTAAAAATATTGTAAAATTATTTTTATACATGTAAGATTCTTTTTTTACATTTCTGAATATTGTTAATGTAAATAAAGTTAAAAGTCGCTAATATATATCTGTGCCATAAATCCATAATAAATAATCCATAATTATCTAAAAGTAAAATTGTAATCTAAATGTAATGTAATTGTCTAAATGTAATTGTATCTAAATGTAAAATTAAAATTATGTGAAAAATTAATTCAGACTAAATCTAAATTGTTTCGTTACGCCAATTACATTTTATATTTCAATTTCAATATTTGACAATCAAATAAAAAAATGTAATTAATATTATTCTCATTCACCTCTGCGAGACCATGGTACTCAAAATATGTGGCGAATGATTCGCTGAGCCAAAGATAACCCCACCATTCTGGCGTGACTAAATTTCCAAACCACATATGAGCAAGCTCATGAGCAATCACAGTGGCCACTCTCTGTTGTGCCAGCGCGGACGATTCCTTCTCATCGTACAGCATTGCGGTCTCGCGATATGTCACCAGTCCCCAATTTTCCATAGCACCTGCCTTAAAATCGGGTACGGCTACCATATCCATTTTAGGGAGGAAATAAGGTAGCTGGAATATGTTATTAAGCGCATCGAGAACCGCAACGCCGATGTCCAAAGAGTATTCGGCTTGATCTAGGGCGGATGGTCTGGCCCACACTCTAAAATTGTCTACTTCGAGAGATTCAAATTCCGAAATGACGAAGGCCACTGTGTAGGTAGACATTGGGATGGTTTGTTCAAAAACATCCCAAATCTTGCCCCCCCGTAGTCTTAAAAACGAATATGTTATATGTAAATGTGGTAAGAAAAAGAAAACAATTTATGTAACAGTATATTAACAAATCGCACATAAGTTTCCCTAATATTTACCGTAAAGATTTAACCAGTGGCATGTTACTCAAGGAGTGGTAACTCTCGTCTCTTACTATATGAAATCTGAATCTAGCTTTAAAACCCGGCTCGTCGAAACATGGGAAGGCTTGCCTCGCATATATTGATTGAAATTGTGTCGCGGCTAACCATCTATAATTTTATAAGTAGAGAATGCATTTCATAATATTTAATAGAAAAGTAATAATATTTGACAATATTATTACTTTTTTTATTTTATTATTGCATTATCACAAAAGGGAATAACGAATGAACGTAATTTACTTACTTAATCTGTCCATTTTTATCGAAGTAAGAACTCTTATAGAATCCGAGCGAGTTGTCGGTTAAGATTCCACTGTACTTAAAGTCAATTAGTATAATGCTCCCTTTTCTAAAAGGTTTTGGGCTAGTAATTGTGTACTTCTCGGTAACATTGTCATAGTTATAACAGAATGTTTGTTCATCGTAAAAGGGAATAAATACTGATTCAATTTCAATTTTTCCCACATGTAACGTAACATGATTAGTTGTACGTATTACCAATGCTGCAATTGTTGTGTAACCCTTAAATTTAAAATCATCTTCCAATTTCGGGATCAGCTTGATATCATATGATATAGGTTTGATAGCTCTTGGTAATCTATAATCGATAGAACTCTCATCTTGTTTAAAATTCTCATTGTTACTTTGGACAATTGTATCTGGAAAATATTATAAAATTATCTCAAAACTATATAAATAAAAGAATTTATTTAAAAAGAAATGTTTTCTAGCGAAAATCGATATATAGCAAATACTGTATAATTTTTTATAGGTTTTAACGCCTATATTTCCTAATATTTCTATCTAAAGATATAGATATTTTTTTTAGCATTTGTTAAATATGTAGATATGTTTTATGTTTTCTATTATTGGCAAGATTAAATTTAGTTTTTCATTAATATAAAACTTTATAAATAATTTGTGCATATTATCTAAAACAATTATAAACATCTGTTTCATAATTAAAAAAAAGATTTTGTTTACTTTAAAAATGTAAAAAAATATATAATTTTATTCATTTTGTATTATTATATATATTTAACTTTTTTCTAAATATTTTTTAATATATAAGTTAATGTAAAATATGAATAAAATTACCATCGGGAGAAAGAGGTTTATCTGCTACATTTCCTCTGAGTAATGTAATTAGGATGCACAGGAACAAATGTTTTCGTAAGATTTTCATCTGTTAATCTTGATTTCACAAGCGATGTAAACGAAGTGCCAAACCGAAAGACTGAATGACAAATGAAATTGGAACAATTAATGACTGAATGATATATAAGGTGACACCTGAGAAGTTCGAAAATTAGCAAATATTCGCAATATCGATAAGCAAATATTTAAGGAAAGATAACAAAAAAAACACCGCCCATCTTGTGAGACTGTTTTTCAATACTTTATATTTAATGTAGTTATCTTTAATTGAATTCAATAATCAATAAACAATCATATATCTAGAAATGAATTGCCATGATCAAGAACCAGTATTCTATTTATATCATTATTTATTGATTATTTAAGCAAAACAAAAGTTTTCAATACATTTAAAAAATTTGTTTTATCAATCGCAAATATTATTTTATTAAGAAATAATTTTATTTTATTTTAACATCTTTTGCGAGAACTGTCGTCATATGTTTTCCCTCTTGCTTCTAACATAATAGCTAATATCTATCATAATTCAAAATTGCTGCAGAGAATTTATAGAAATATTGAAACAATAATAAATAAATACATTTAATTAGTAAAATAATGTCAAGATAAATATAAAATATAAAAAAAGTTGCATCAAATTATAGTTTCATCTAATTATTAGTTTCATATTATATTTAAATCATGAAATTAATTTTTTATAAAAAAATTTACACAAAATTGAGAAATATAGAAGTTATAAATTAATTAGATATAAAATTAATTTTCGATTGATATAATTAAGTGTTTTATTTAATAATAATTAGATAAATGACATTTTGGATATGCATATGATTGCGAATCATGCAACTTTATCCGCTTCTGAATGTCTCTGACGAAATCGAGGATCCAATGAAGGAGAGAGATCTTACTGCTTAATTAGTATCAGCTGCAATTATTTGCTTTTATTAGTTGTCCATTTGCTGCTGCTGTAATAACTAATTCAAATATTCAACGGTACGCATCACTCAAGAAATTATAGTATCAAAATTTATAAAATATAACAATGTCCTTAAAAAATCAGAATGCTGAAATCTAAGAGTTAAAATATGAATCGTTCTCAAAAAAAATTTGAAATAATGCAAAATTCAAATATTATATTATTTTTCTAGATAATATAATATACAAAAAATATTGAAAAAAGTACTATTATAAAAAAGGAAGGGTTTTAAAAATCTGTGTATCAATGTGTTAGATAACAATTTAAGATATTAAATTATTATACTAAAAATATCCCAAATAGCACATATTGATTAAAAAATTGATAAACAAATGATCAACAAATCTATCAACTAATACTGTCTATCAACTAGTACTGTTTGAAATATCGTTCATATGCAAGACATTTTAGAAATATTAATTAATACACAGAGATACAGTATGGCACGCATATTTTTATTTTATTATGGAAATTGTTTGATTTAACAGTATAATAACAAGTACGAAAGTTACATATACTTATATACATACTTATACACATACATACGTTAATTTTTTAATTTTTATTCATTTTAGCATAAATTTTTTAATATCAGTGCATTTGTTAATGTTGAAGTATTTTTTTAAAGAAAAATTATTGTTAATATCTCATGTGTTCACAAAAACATGAGTTTTTATTGTCTAACTATATATTAACCATTAGATAAAAATTTTCTTGTCTTTAAAAATCTTCAAATCTAGTTTTAGTTTTTCCTTGTTTCTACATCTCGACAAGATGTTGCCTATAATTCTCTTAATTTTTCTAAAAATAAGAAATAATTCCATATGATTTATATATTATGTAGTTTTTAAAAATAAATATATATTTATTGAATTAATCCATAAAACTTTAAAACATCTATGAGTTATGATTATTTACAAACTTATAATATTTGATAATATTAATTTATTAAATTAATCTAGACTTGAGGCTCTAATAATTTAAAGATCGGTTTGGCATTATTCATTTATATCAAATTATTTGAAAAGAAACAGATGTTTCCAGATCATGAGAGAATGAAGTGGAATTTTTCCAATTTCTTATTTCGTTCAATTTTGTTTTATCGATTTCATTGTTGACTGTCACATTAATAATATCTCATTAGTGTTCTTATAAAGTCTGATAATCTAAAAGCATATTATTAACAAGCAAAACATTAACAATCTAACATATCATCTATACATATCTATAACATATATTATCTTATACATATATATTATTTCCATATAAATTATTATCAAACATTAATTAAAACATTAAGAAAATACATTATAGAAATATATATATATAAAAAATATAAAATTTGTAGCTTTGTTTGCAAGTTTGTATGGACATACATTAAATCAAACGAAAATATTTCGACGAGTTACATATTATAATTATCATTTATTAGTATAAAAAAATAAGTATTAGTATAGAGTTAGTACATAAATATTAGTATAAGAAACAAAACTAAATAAGGAAATTATATAAATGAGAAAAGTGTTCTGATGCGGAAAAGTAGCTACAATTGGCTTTTTCATTTTGCTTACTTTGTGCAAAAAATGTACTTTTTGTACAGTTTATATAATTTTCATATTTGTACATAATTATTATTACAGATAAGAAGATTGTGTAAACATATTTTATTTTGTACTTTCTTCGAAGTATTTTCTTCGAATAATTTTATGATTAAATAATGTTGATATATAAATATATAAATATATAAATAATTTTCTATGACAGGACAAATGAATGTAGCCGAGTTTTATTTCTCGTAACTAAAAACCATAGGCTGGAATAAAACGTTACATTATGAACTTTTTAAATCTGTTCTGATGAATAATGATGAAGTAATGTCTTGAAGGTAAGTCCATAAAATTGGTCCCTGAAACAAAGATAATTAAAATATTTTGACAGAACAATTTCGTCTAGTTCTGTGTAACAATTAATTTAAGGACCTAATATTTCTCTCTAAATGTTTGCTACTTAAAAAACATCCATATTTGTATATGTTCTTACATAAAAAATTGGCTATCGGCGATTGTTTCAAGAATTATTTTACACTTTTACGTGATTTATTGGACAGATACTTTACTTTCTGATATTTTTTACAAGTTTTAAGAATATGAAAATATCATGTTTTTTAGGAAAAGGAAAGGTACAAAAATGAAGCTAGAAATGACGCAAGAAACTTTTTACATGTCTCGCCTCTGACGTCACACAACCCATGTCGCGCCGCGAGAGAACCGAGCCTTAATGATCCTTCTGGCACCATCTAACAGAAATTGAAATAATTTCTAAGGTGTTATATCGTCGATACAAAGCACACACTCAATTTTCATGCAATACCGATCGTTGTTAATGCAAATTGCAACATCCGATAAATTCAAGGAATTGCTCCAAGAAATTGGAAAAAAAAAAAACGTCGAACTTGTCGCACATGTGCTACGAGAAGATATCGCGAAGGTATTTGCACATTTTTCTCGACATTTACAATTTGGGTTATTTTTATGATGAATCGATCAGATCTTTTCGTCTAAAAAAAAAAAAACAACACGGCGCAATATAATACAGGCTGAATGAATCGCAGGTTATAATGCGAGGTGTGCTCGCGCTTAAATCGCTTGCATACAGAATTCATCTAACCTCAACGTTCTTTACCCCGTATCGCACTAAATATATTCACGCAAAACACGTGCTGACGATGAACGAGGCATTTCTCCGTTACGAGAAAGGCAACGACGTGTTTGACATTTCGTTTCGTTATGTGAACGAAGAGATGAATATCGACCGTCAATTTAATTTTTCCAGACAGGTCACCGAAAATGTGAACAATTTTCTGAAAAGAATCGATACAAACGTTTACAAAAACATAAACAAAAAGGTGAGACGAACGATTTTTCCTTTTTTCTTTCTTTTTTTTTTTTTTAATTTTTTTTACTATATGATTTTATAATTGTCATTATATTATAGTACTATTTTATAATAGTATAGAATATACGAGGTATTACTTTATGATTAAAAAGAAGAAAGCAATTTTTTAAAGCAATTTTTAAGGACAAAATGGAAAAAACGTTTATATATATAATGATATATATTCAAACAAAAAAAGATAATTCAGATATATTGCTTGATCAAGCAAAATTTTCAGTGGCTATGAATCTTTTAATTTTTTAATTTATTAAATAATGAGAAAGAACATATATTTTTTAGATCAAATGTAAAATGTTATCTAATTATTATGATAAATATTATATATGTCTCAATGAAAGATATTTATTTCCAATAGAATGATCTAGATTCAAATTCTGGCTGAAATGATCTTTTGTAATAAACATTTTTTGAGAAATTTAATTAATATTAGTAGAGGAAAAATATAGCTTTCAAATGAAAGACCATAAATGACATAACAAAGGCTAAATGTTTCTTCACTTTACATAATAAATTAAAAAATTAAAAGTTTCAGGATGAACAGATAGGTTCTAAAAATCCTGCTTAATCGAATACTGCCTGAATTATGTATTTGCTATATAAAGTAAAATTTTATGTCTTATTTGTGAAAAAGTTAAAATTTGAAGAAGCAATAATATTCTTAGATATTGACTTTAAAATAAAATACATTTAAAATAAAAAATGTATAATTAAAAAAATAAACATTTTTCCTTTTAGATGCAAAGAAAAAAGAAGAAAAATGCTACTTTAGAAGTATCTGATATACCAAATGACAATGTAAATACTGGAAAAATCATGCTTCTTAAAGATGATATTAAAGTAAATGGCGATGCATTATGGCAAAGCCTTTTACAAGATTCTGCAAATCTGAAACTAGTTATTTTTGAAAAAATCTTTTTAGTGAGATTAAACGCGCCTTACATTAACAAAATTTCATTACCATCAAGTATGCTGGTGGGTTTTCCAACTTATCCCTCCAAGTTTGAATCGCTTTATACTGACAAAAAGCAATCGACATTTGATTGGTATAAAAACGATCGTATTAACAACAAGCCGCATTTATGGACACACATAGGCACTGGATATCTATATGTACCAAACATGACTGACATCGGTTGCAATTTGAAGATTAGCTGCGAACCACGAAACGAGTCAGACGTGGGTTGTAGAGTCGAAGTAGAATCAAAGAATGTTGTAGAAGCTGGTCCTGGACAATGTCCATTTGATATTAGACATCAATTTACAAAACATAAATTATCAGGCAGAAGGTACTTATATTTGTAAAATATAACAGATATGAAGCATTAGAAAAATTGAAGTTATGAAAGTCGACGTAATGAACATGTATATATTTTACTCAAGAAAAATATTTTTAGTTTCAGAATAGTATCTTACAATATACTAGCGGATACGTACACCGATTCTGATTTTACTAAAGATGTATTATTTCCATATTGTCCACAGTATGCATTAGATATGGATTACAGAAAGCAATTAATACTTAAAGAAATAATAGGTGAGTAATAAATATAATTTATATAAGCTGTTTAAATATTTTTTATTTATTATAAACGAAAAGTATTTTTTATTAATTCATGTGCTATATATTTAAAATATCTTAAATTTATAATTAAAAATCAATAATTAATAATTAAATTTTGTTAGAGCTTACGAAATTGGTCCTTTTTAACGTTCTTAAATATTATATCAGAATTATTGGATTATCGAATAAAATAATAATAACCATTTATATTTTTTATTTTCATTATCTTGCATTAATATGATTATTGTAGGTTTTAATAGCGATATAATTTGCCTACAAGAAGTAGACAAGAGTATATATGAATATGACTTATTACCATCTCTATATATGTTGAATTATGATGGTGTATTTATTACAAAGAATGAAATGAGCGAAGGACTCGCCACGTTTTTCAATCAAGAAAGATTTGAAAAATTGGGATTTGAATACAGTGTAATGGCTCAGAACATCGATTTTCCTAAATTTACTGCCGTCTGGTCTAAAATCGACAATGACAAGACAAGAGAGAGATTTTTGAATAGAAATACAACTATTCAGGTAATTATACATAAGATACAATTGAAATCTTAAGTAAAGATCATATTCTGTATTAAACTCAAAGAGATAAAAAATTAATGATTTAGGTAACAATGTTACGATTGAAAGAGGATTCATCCCAAATTTTGATCGTCGGCAACACACATCTGTACTTTAAACCTGATGCGGATCACATACGTTTATTGCAAGGATATTACGCGATTACATATGTACATGATGTGGCGAAAAAAATTCAAGAAGAAGTAGATATTTTTTTCAACTTAGGAACTTTAATATTTATACCTGAAAAATATTTGATAACATTGTTTTTTGATATTGTTGCGAATTATCTCACGAATTCTATTCTGTTATTTATGTGAAAATTTCTTGACAATGACCATTTGTATGTTGACAGAATCCTGAATGTAACGTGAGTGTAATTCTTTGCGGAGATTTTAACAGTGTGCCGGAATGTGGCATTTATCAACTGATTACGGAAAATTATGTTCCGGAAACGTGCGAAGATTGGAAAAGCAGTAAGTAGCTTTCTTCAGTATTATCAGTTTATGGAAATTTGGTTTTTTTCTGATTTTATTGATGATTTTACTTTATCATGCAACAAATGAAAAAATTCTTCTTTTTTAGATGCCGAGGAAACTATAAAAAACATATCCTTAACGCAGGATCTTTACATGTCTAGCGCTTGCGGAACGCCAGAGTATACAAATTATACGCCGCAGTTCTCTGCTTGTTTGGACTATATATTTTATGAGAGGGACAAATTCGAAATAGAACAAGTAATTCCAATGCCCAGTAAGGAGGAACTTACTCTTCACACGGGTTTGCCATCTGTAGTATTTCCCAGTGATCATATATCTTTATGCGCCGATTTAAAACTAAAAGGATAATGATAAAAATTGTTAAATTGCGCTACGCCTGTAATATCAATTATATGTAATTAAACATAGATGGTGATCAAATCTATTTATACATTTACGTAATATACAGGCAAAAATGTACTAATATAAAATCACTATCATTGAAACTTATTATTCCTATTTCAAGATTCTAATAGTATTAGAGTTAAGTTATACATTCTGCTCTACATTATTTAAATGTATATCTTTTTTATATTGCCAGAACAATTTATATTGTGCATTTTAAGGACTAACTTAAATTTTAGAAAGTTTATTATAATATTTAGATTGTGCTTCTTTTATCATCATGTGTCGGCATGTCATGATTAGAGCATTCTTATAAGTAAAGTAAAAGCAATAATAAGATTTATATTTTCTGTGATAAATATATTTTATATCACTTCGTTTATTTGATTAATATCAAACCGCAGGTAGCAAAAATTTATTCTAGTGCAAGAAATAATTCTTAAGAAACAACATTAGGAAAAGTATATACTAGGAATGTGTGAGTCAAATTATCATAAGCAGATTCTTCTTTCCAAGTGCATCATATTAATTTCATTTATGGTCATCAAGATATACATTCATATTTCAATAATACAACAAAATGACGTCATGTATCTATAGCTAAAGTTAATTTACAAAAACTTATATACATTAATATATTTTTTTGATATATTATTTCCTTCTTCAACGGCTCCGTTCGTAAAGATCTGCAGGTAACTTTAAATTTGATTGAACCATAAACTTTCTATATCCGCTACACAAGATGTTTTTTAGTACCTTTTTTACCTTAAGCGAAAAATTGAATTTTTATACTTTACTATTTATATTTTACCAGTCTACGAGATTTACGCGTAAAGTAGAAATGTTTTAATCTGTAGTTATCTATATAATTATAACTATTACGTTTCAAAGCGTTTCACGTATAAAATGAAATTCAATTTTGGAAGAGTAGAAAAAATTGTTCTGTTTTCATGGATATCCGATGATTAAAATTTTTTTTCTATTTATTTATATCTTTCTTTTTCATCATAGATTTGATTATTACATGATTGCGTTACTTTACACATGAAACACTTTGTATCTAATATATTTATTTATGAAAAAAGAGAGAGTCGTTATCCAATCTTCATAATTATTCATCACTGTAAACTCATTATCTCTGTCATTCATTATTTAATTTAATTAAAAAATGAAGAATCACAATTTACTCAATAACTATGATTATGATTCAAATGATAAATTTAAATATAATTAATTAAACTTTTAATAAGTCTATTCTGCATATCAAACGAATTGTCATTGTTTTATTTCATAAATTTAGATCCTGATATTGCTTATATTGCCTTATATTTGATGCAAGTATTTGTCAAATCGAATTATAATCATATGATTATATGAATAATAATAATATTTATGCAAAATCTTTATGTTTTATTCCTTGATCAATCATTTTTCCATCTCAATTCGATTAGTTGTTCTTTGTTATTCTCATCTTCTTTTAATAGAGGAATATTTCAGCAATGAGATTTACTTGCAGTTTCAAAAACGGGATTAATTCACTTTAATTGGTCCATTTTTCGGCGCAGTAATCGGTGTGTAAATATGCCGATATAAATATATACTATGATTAAAGTCACTTTACATAGTAAAGAACTTTACATAGTAAAGATACAGTTTATATATCTTAATCACAACACAAATTGCATTTATTGTTCATTAATATATTAATCACATCTTATTCTAATACAATCCAATCATACATATCCAAATTATCCTGATATAGAAGAATACTTCATCACGAAATAATTACTTAAATGAAAGATTTCTACTACCTGCAGACCTTTTCTTTCTATCACATACTTTGTTTTCATTTCCGTATAAATGTAACAAATCTAATGTGTATCTAAAATAATTCTCACCACTAAGCTTTGTTGTAATAAACCTTAATCCTTTTCTTCCTAAAAATATCATAAATGTAAATACAAATTATGAAACTTTTTATTTTTTTTTTTTGTAGTCTTAAACTCTATAGAAAAACACATTCAAATTAGATAAATTTATCCCTTAATTTAAATTGCATGTACAAATATACAAGAAAGGAATAATCCACAGAATAATACAGGAATTATGTAGAATTGATCAATTAGAAGTATCGATAAGACTTTTATTCTTTCAAAATTTAAATGTTTCTCACACATCATAGATACAAATAAGTATATAAACTAGATCAGGAATAAAAGGATTAAGGCCTTTCCTCTTTCTCATTCGATAACTATAAACGATTGATTGAAAATATCTTAATAAAATATGTATCCAAAAACAAGTTACACGTTCAACAATGAAATAATACATTGATATACGTAAAATCTCATGTTGCGTCTATATTTATAATTTCAGAAAAAAAAACATAACTATTCCCAAAAATAAAATTACGCAGATTATTTTATTGATTATTTATTGACAATCCTTCAAACTTTGACATTTTCGTGTGTTTAGTCTCATTTATAATTCTAACATCTTTATGCAGACAATGAATGATTTAAAAATTATACACTTCCCCTTTTTATAAATAAAAAAACATCAATTTTGTAATTTCAATATATATGCATTATATATTGCATCAAGAAAAATAAATCAGAATAATCAGTTTATTTAATATTATACAACGCAAAAGAAGAAATTAAATAAAAAAATTATGACAATATAAATATATGTACAATGTGGCATAAAAATCATATATTTTAGGATGCATCCTTTCACATATATTTGAAATAGCCAAATGCAAAATTTTGAACAAATTCATACAATCTTTGTCTACGATCAATCTCCATTACTATCAGATTTCACGTGAATAATGCATGTGCCATTAACAAGACGATTCGAACTTAATGTTTAGCGATGTGCTGCGGACTCAGGAATAAAAGAATAAAGTTAAAGAGGTGAGACACGTTCGCGGCGAGTGAGTCCACCATATTTGTTTCATAAATCGCACACATGGAACCACAAGGAACGTGACGTATTATACGTGTATACATGCGCATATGTGTGTATACCTCAAGTAGGATTTTAGACTTCGTCTATTCCTAAGTCCGTAGCTACAGTGAATTTATGTAATGTGACACAAGTGATACCTCAACATACGACCGTTGAAACCGTTAGAGTATTTCCTTTCCCGCCTTATTAACGAATAAGAAAATGTGATTGCATCGGACAACAAGAGTATGCGAGATAGAGAAGAGAACGCAATGCTATGCAAGAAATTTACATATTAGTAAACGATTGTTGCTCGCTCGCATGTTCGCTCATTTAAGATTATCACATTCCTCTTCGCGGCGCACTCGGCACCAACAATTGCAACGCGGTCATTGCGTCAGGGAACAAAGAGTGATAATTCACCACTGGTACGTAGGCTGCGGTTATGACGCGACCGGCAAACCATCGACCATGCAGCGAATTCACCGCCGCCACAGCAGTCGCGATCGATGGACATTTGACATAGACATTGCCCTGCGGCGACGCTTGATCAACGTATACGTGCAATACACCGCCGTGCTTGTTACATTCTTCGATCACGTCGTCACGAATTTCTTTTGCCCAATTAGGATTCGTTTCACTGAAAGTACAACAATAACAATACAAATTGTTATTATATTTATTATTATTATTATTATTATTATTATTAACGTTATCCCACTAAAAATTATAATTATGGGCAATGCTTTTATGCTCTTTTATGAAATCAAGAGTAACACTCGATGGTTACGATAAGCATGTAATGTTATCATTACCTTTGCACACGACTATTTGCGCATATGCTGACTCAATTATGATAACATTTTTATTTGGCATATATTTTACCCCCTAGTGAAAGTATGATATACCTGACACTAGGTCTACAAATATGCAACGTATAAAATGAACTTATAGTTTAAATGCTTATATAATACAAAGATATTTATGCAACTTACTTTTGCGGATCGAACATATTCGATAACATAAAGCATTGTGTCGCGATAGGAGGTGCAGCCTGAGGTGGTGGCTGTGGTTGAGTCATCACTGGTGCCATATTTAAAGCGTTTGCTGCAGCAGGAGGAATTTCTAGACCAGTACCTTCCGCCAATTTGAACATTAGTTGTAATCTATAAAAATGTACAAATTATCATCAAAATGTATGTAACAAATCATTTGTTATCTATCTCTTTTCCTTTTATAGTTTGCTTACCTTCCAGTTGCTCCAAGATCAATTCCACTACGATCTAATTCGTCAGTATCGAGAAGAGAAGGTCCTTGAATTAAATCCGTTCGTTCTGTTACATTTCCAACTTTCATAGGTCTACCAGCAAGTTCGAATCCATTCAACTGTTCCAATGCTTTCTTTGCATCGTCTGCATTTCTGAACTAAAAAAAAAGAGAAATAAAGATCTTAAATTTCACATAAAAATGCGACAAAAAATATTTAAGGTATCAGTCTTTATGGATTACAAATAAAAAATATTAACTCAATTATTATTCAAAAATCTTGATAAATATTTCAAAAAAAATATATGCTAATAAATAATATTAATGTAAGCTTACTGTCAGAAAACCGTAACCTTTGCTCCGCCCTGTTTCGGGATCCATTATTAACTGTATGTTATCAATTTTTCCAAAAGGTTCAAAGATTCCGCGAAGCATATCTTCCGTGATATTAAAGTGCAAAGATCCTACATATAATCGCATAGGTCCCGTTTGTCCTTTAGGCATTAGGTTCGGCATCGAATTACCCATGCGATTCTTTTCAGCTTGTGTATGTTGTACTACGATAGGCACCCCAAGAAGTTTTTGACCCGACAAACCAAGAGCCTGTAAAACGATATAAAAGTTAGCAAAGTTTTTTTCAACTATTTAGTATATAAAATATTTTACTTTAAACAAAAAAAATTACAATCTCATAAAATATTATTTGTTATCTTTCTAATCGCATAATTAATATACTCACAAGTGTCACACTTTCTGGATCTTTGAATTCCACATAAGCAATACCTTTAAATCTTCGAGTTTTGTTACATGTAATTAGTCTAACATCTTGCACTTTGCCGACACTTGAGAAGAATTCTTCCAGATCTCGTGCACGAATTCGCTGGCTTAACTGCATACAAAAGACAGTCCTAGCATCTCGCTCTTCTGGTGTTAATTCATCGTTTCTAAGAATAGATAATATATTATTTTATATGTATTAAATATAAAAAAATACATATTAATTTTAAAAAATTCTAATTTATAAATTAGATATTTGTTGCATATTAATTTCTGTTACTAAATGTAGTAGTAACAAAATAAAACTTAATATTCATTTTGATCTAGCATAAATATATCCCCCAAAATCACAGACTGCTGTTCCATGACTTGGTCTAGTCAATTATGCATTTTGAGAAGTATATGAATATAGATAAGGAAATAGAAATAAATAGTTTATATAGTTATATTTAACTATTAAATAATTGTATAAATTTTAAACAATTTATACAGCTTATAATTAATATTTTCTCTTGATGTTCAAATTGTTTTTCTTCCATATTAAAATTATTTCCTACGTAATCAATTTATATTTATACTTATATTTAAAGCTTACTTTATAAATAACTTAATAATTACTTAATAATTTATATTATATTCATTCATAATAATCAATTTATTACAATAACCTATATATTAAAAATGCCGGAAAGAATAAAAGCTTGGTAGAAAGTAACAATCCCGTATCAAAAAAACAAAGATTTACACAATGTAATAAAGTGATGCATTTCAATTTTATATAAAATTAAAAACTAAAACTATAATCTTAAAGGCAAATTCCTGATATCATTTCAAAATAAAAATTGTATTAAAATATTGAAATTATAATAGTTTTTACAGTTGTTACAAACTTACAATTTACTCACTTTTTTATACAGAGAGATATAAAAAAGAGAATAGCACTTTTTTAGAATATTTACATTTAAATATCAGCAATATTGGTAATTATACAATTTCGTTATTGCAAAAAGATTAATCAAATGTATTAATCAGCTAATTAGATTTTACTAGTTTACTATAAGAGTTTCGTAAATAACTAGTACTTACATTCCAAGAGGACTGTGGCCTTTGCCGAATGGTGGTCGGGCTCTAGGAAGAGTTAATGGTGTTAACGATCTCTTTCTTCTTCTGTCTCTGTCTCGATCTCTGTCTCGCCTATCCCTTTCTCGATCGTTATCACGATCCCTGTCCCGATCTCGTCTGTCGCGCGATCTCGACCTGCGCCGACGATCGCGGTCGCGATCGCGATCCCTGTCCCGATCGCGATCTCGGTCCCTGTCTCTGTCGCGATCCCGTCGATCTTTGTCTCGGCGATCGCGATCTCGGGATCGTGAACGAGAACGCGAGCGATGTTTGCTCTTCCTACGAAAGAAAAGTACTTAAATTAGAAAAAGTTCACTTGAAATAAAATAAATTAAATACTATTTCCTCAAGTATTAAGATGAATCTTTAAGAGTCGGCTCTCTCGAGCAGCTAATTCGTCTTTTATGACGTCATACGCGAGAAATGATGTACAGTAATTTCTTTGCAACGCATAAGTTTACTTTTTATATTTCTCTGAAGAACATAATATTTTCATATTCTTAAAACTTATAAAATATATTGCAAGAAAATTACTGCATGTCATTTCTCGCCTATGACGTATCATAAAACTAATATAGCTACAGTAAGAGAGCCGAGCCTTAAATATCAAAATGAAGATTTGTGATACCTACGTGTACGTAATTTTTATATATATATATATATATATATAATATATATATATTAATATTATATAATTATATAATATAT